GGGGGGGCAGAAAGACAAGCACAAACGTGCGCACAATCTAAGTTGGCAAAGACGAAGAAGGAACTCACACACCGGGGAATCTAAAAGCCAAAAGGCAGTTGGACAATGTCAGCTGTTATCTGGTTACTAGACACGTCATCAGCAGGATCATAAAATTTCAAACAGCAATTTAATTATGAGTATGCTCTTTGTTTCTTAAATTAGAGAAATGAAACTCAAGTCTCTGAGGGAATTATCTTTGACGCTACCTTCTTTTATCTCATAGTCGCTCGAGTCATAAAAGATATCAGAAAAGTACATCGGAAAGCCACTCCGTCATACCCCAACTCAATTTCCAAACCGGAATATCTTTACGGCAAGAGACAAGGCAAACGGATGTACATGTATTATTCTTTGTGCTCATCGTAGATGCTTTTCTGACAAGGAAATCAAAACATTAGTTAAATTCGATGAGATAGGCCTACTTAAGAACATTGTGTGTCTGATTTCGCAGAGGAAGCCAGTAATAGATTATTGTAAGACAATCAGTGATTTAAGAGCTACTGACCGCTAGGTATGGCTACAGAGGGAAAAGCGAAATAGGGGGAAGTAAAATTCTACAGTTGCTTCACAGAGCAAAAAACATGGGGACGCTCAAGTTAAAATGGCAGAAAAAGCTGAGGTCAATAATAGTGTAAATATCATTGTTTGTGTTAAGAGTGTCTGAAATTCAATCGCTCAGGAGCAGGAAGAAATAATGTCCATGTAAACATCTTTATCTTCATAATAATGTTGTTTTCCAAATAAAAGTGACTCCTGAACAGAGAGAAACTCATTAAGCCCACCCATAAGCAATGTGTGTATGGGTTGGCGTGTCAATACATGGTGTCATAAGGAACCATTTTAAGAAGAGCGCCTCCCGCTAAATGCCACTACGGAAAATCGCTAGCTCACACAAGGGGTCAAAGTTGAAGAGTCAGAAGGGTCGAGAGAAAAATAGAGAAACGGGTGAGGACAGGCCAAGCGTTTGACTCACTGATGCAGGGCGCGATGTGTGACTCGGTCTGCAGGTAGCCCGCCGCACATCTGTTACAGGTGAGGCCGATGACGCCATCTTTGCAGGGACACTGGCCTGTGGTCTGGTTACAGGTCTTCCCAAGAGCACCCACGGGATGGCAGCTGCACGCTGTGGGAGAACGCACAGAAGAACACAAGTGAGAATATGTTCGGGCAACACTGGGACACAGAGATATAATTGTACATCTCGCAGACATAAATAAAAGAGCCAGGAAAGTCAGGATTAAGAATTATCTTTGGTAGGCAATGTTACAATTATAATAATATTGTTTAACTATGGAAATCTACTAAAACCCAATAGTACATTCTATAGATATTAATATAGTATACCATAGTATCTATTTAAATCTTTGATCATTCTACGTCCAGCGAGGGGTTAACAAATTAATTAAATGCTTACGATTTAGACAACAAAGAGGCAGCAAAGAGTGTGATTTAATCAGTAACGGTGTTTCAATATCATACAGTAAACAATCCCTATAACAGTGTGCTTATATGTACTAATAACAAATTGCAAAGACGTCAATGATTCCGAAGTCGACAATATTTTACAAGACGACAACGGCTGTAGCAGCGTACTATGCTGTTTGAAGGCCATAGCGAGACTCTTTGTCGTTGCGACCAAAAAGACGTGAGTTCGATTATCAGGAGAAAAACTCTCTTTTCTTCATTGAGTACGTTTTATTTTTCATCTGCGATGCTGTATCCCACTCATCCCAGATGGCCCCTGACTAGTTGAGTCGAAACAGCCCGCCACCTAAATTATCTAAATTTTGTAGATAGGGGCGAAAACATGTTCTACACTTGTTTAAACATCTCTTCCCTTAGCCCGGAGATCCTCGGCTCTTGAGGGCGGGTGACCCCAACAGAGGACATAAATCGTCCAACATTAGAAACATGAAGTTTAAAATAAAACGTCTCGTTGAAATAAAGATTGTGGAGTTTCACATCATTAGATAAGAATTTCCAAGTCTGACAGACACATTTAGCTCCTGTGCACCAGTGTTGTCTTCGTCTTTCCGAACGTCTGCGTGATCTTGAGGTACAAGCAAAAACAGTAGCAGCGGCAAGAAAATTATGGACAACCACAGTGACACAAGTAGGGAACAGCAGTAGTTAACCAAACGACAGCAGCAACAGCAGTAGTAGCAACAGCAACAACAACAACCACAGCAACAACGATTACAACAACGTCAAGAAAAACAACCGCGTTCGCAAACAAAACAACCGCATCGACTTCAGCAACAGGATGCGCTGCTTTAGCGAGAGCGAGAAGTGCAGCAACAATACTAACACCTTCATCATCAACTACGACAGCACTACAATGACAAAGCGCATCAACAATATCCACAGCAACAGCAACAATAAAAACAACAACAACAACAAACAAAAACGACAATAACAAAAACAACAACAACAACAACAACAACAAACAACAACAACAACGAAAGCAAGAACATCAGATAAAACTGCAGCAGCAGTAGAACACAATAATTATAAATAGAATTGCAGCAACAACAACGACGACGACAACAACAACAACAACAACAACAACAACAACATATATCATGTCATAGACAAACGCCCCACTGCGTTGCTAATTTTCGTCTACATCCGGGAAACTCAGTGTCAACGGGCAAAATATAGGACACAATTTCGGGTCAACAAACAACGAGCAACAAGGGATCTGTTAACGCTTTGATGTCATATCCACGAGGGACATTTTTTCTGGTTGTAAAGACATAGGAAGACGATGAAGGACTAGTGAGTTCGATTCCTGGCTCGTTTGGGTTAAATGATGTATCCCACGGACAGAGAGGCACTTTCCCAATATGTTCCAAAATTTATTCAGCTGCTATGGACATGTGGCATTAACAGAAACGGGAAATATGAATGTAAACAATAAGCGCGTAACAGATTAAAACTCTTGCATGCCATCAGGAAGACTGATATGGTTAACCGGAAAAGGTAACTGCTGTTGGGAACTGTACTTATACTGTATGGACCTTCCTTGGTTTTAAAAGGTGGGGGGAGTGGGGAGAGGGGGATACACGACTAAAATGAGCACTGAGAGTACGCAAACGTTTTAGCTTGAAGTAATTAAACCGTCACCCTCACACTGTTTTGTCATTTGCTAATAAACATGTACACCGATTTGGGTAATGTATTTTACTTCCTTTGGTGCAGTCAGGTTCATTTCGAGGACAACCATACTTTGTTTCCTTATCAATTCTACACTTTCCTTTTGTCTAGAATTCTCTCACGAGTACAACAAAGGGGTATCAAGTCATCTGTTCAGTTATACGTCCTTCATTAAACAGTAAAAGGACCCCCCCCCCTCCTTCAGTCCTTCATTAAACGAATTCATGCCTAATCCCAAGAAAATATGGACTTGATACACTGTGATAAAGGTTCAGAAATAACAATTTACAACAAAACGCATCTCGTCTCAAGACTAAATATCTACGAGTTGGCTATTTCCTATGAATCAGCTTCTAACTTGAACGTCAGAAAATTTCGCCAGATAACTGCGCCCAAATGGCAAAAGCAACGGACTGCCTATTTTAGGCTTCGCAACAAGGTGGCCGGGATTCCACACATTTCTTTCCCACGTTGACAAGACGACAGCGGCAGATGCCATTAATCTGAAGCGGTCTGAAGCAACTTTACTCACACGAGCACACAATAGAGCTGGGCAACAAGAGCTCACGAGACTTTTTATTTCTACGCCATACATAGTCACGCTTCTGTACCTTATAAAATAATAAATAATAATGGATTGCATTTATATAGCGCATATCCACTTATGCAATGCTCTATGCGCTTAACATGATACATA